TACCTCTATACTTTGCAATCCTCATGTTCGTCCTACTGAAATTCACAAATATTAGTTAAGTTTTGATAGCTTCAGGCATGTGAATTGATATACTGTATAGCGTTTACTTAGTGACATTTTGTATTATTATTGCATACATGCTAGGCATAGGAATGATTCAAAAGTTGGGGGGCTCAACATTAAAAAGCATGACATAGCATGTAAACATGGGGGGGCTAAGCCCTTCTTGCTGAAAAGTTGGGGGGGGCTGAAGCCCCCAGCCCTCCCATTCCTACGCCTATGACATGTACATGTAGGAATGATTTAGTATTCCATGACAACATAAACTGCAATTGACTAGCAAACAAAGCCATTCATTTAGGTAATCACATGTTTGTCATCAAAAAGCATTCACAAGGATGTTCCATTCATTAATTGGCTGTCAACAGTGAGTTACACGTACATGTAGTTTAGTATTTTTTCTAATAATAACTAGACGAGTGTAACAGTTATAAGTAGATGAGATAAAGATGTACTTTTCATTGTTCAGTTTTGCTAATGCTTGCTGATACTCTGGTTGCCCATGTTATTGGTTGCTACAAATTTGGTGATGGATTGTCCTATTTAAAATGACAAGACTGTATTAAAAGTAAAGATGACATCAAAAGGTATGTACATATGTCCTCAGATCGCCTTCATATTATTATGAGCAATTGTGGCAGGAAAGAATTTGTGAACTGTGGCATTTATTACTGTGGTGCATTAAATAGAATTACAAGTTAAGATGTATCAGGATGTAGACAGCTGCTGCCTGCTGCAAGGAGTTATTGTCACGGAAATAAAGATCATATTGTGATAATTGTAGGCAAAGAGATTATTTTTGCTGCTGCTGCTATTAATTAAATGAAACACTTCCTATAGATTGAATGAAAGTTAAAACTTATGCAAAAGTGTCAGAAGAGTTATCCAAAAACCCACAAAGTCATGAAATGCATTACATGGTATGTTTTGAAACAAAATAGTGTATGCTTTAATTGTTTGCTAGCTGATTGAACTGTTGATAACATGTTAACCTACAGTGTATGAAGATAATCAATTGATATTTTAGTTGATTATTTAATGTTATCTTCCCTTTATAACAACCATACATGTACATGCATATATTATGGGGCTCTGTCCTGGTCACACCATGACAAACTGAATGTGTATATGCAGTACTGATTTATTGATAGAACTGTTTGAACAAACCAAGTTTTAGTTTCCATGTAAGTGAACAATTCCTTCACTTATAGGAGGGGAGTCAATTAATCAGAATAGTATAGTCACACCCACAGATGTTAATGTAACAAGTTCAAGTATATACATGAAAGTAATAATAATCATTACATGTATACAGGTAATTATTTTCTCTCTCTTTCTCCCTCACTTCCTTCTCATCTCTTTTGTCTTATTAAGATAGGTTGTATATTATTTCTGATTCTTGTCTTGGCTTTGGTGTCTTCAATAATGAAAGCTGTATAGACAAAAGTAAGTAGATGTACATGTATGTGTGTTATTGTAGCTTACCTTTCTTTATTACACTTTGTTGTTTGTTCTTTATAGTTACCAGTACACATACATGTAGATGAATGACAGTCTAGTACATGGTCTGGTACAAGCTACAAGGATGGAGGTACAATAGCAAACTGTATAGTAATGTCAATGATTCAACAAATATTGACAACACCCAGCAATCACCAACTATCCCTAATCTTCTTCTCAACTCAAACTCTTGATTCTCTAATGTAAGTTAATACTACTCTCTGTAACACTCTAATGTATGTATACAATTTACTAAATATATTTTGTATAGGTTGTTGGGAATGAATATTGCTTAATTCAAAAACTTTGTCTATGAATAACTGTCATGAAGAATTTTGTAAATAAAAATAGAGTTTTCTTAGGCCAGTTAATATCTATACCTTTATCTCTCTCTTTGTTATTGTTCATATTAATTTACGTTGTTGTGTTGCTTTATTAAAAATATAATAATTATAATGCTTAAATTAGTCAATTAGCACAGTTACAAGGTTCTACCTAACGCATACAAACATACAAAACAGAATGCTCTTTTATGTTTGAAATAACAGGTTTCTTCTTATCCTTCAATTGAAAATTAAAATTTGAAAAAAATAAAATAAACCATGCAGCCTGCTATAAATAATGCAAGACATCATTGATTATAATAAATTTTACTTTCAGACATAGTTTCATAGTTGATTGATTTGCACCAGCATATCATATGTGCCGTGCCATCAACTTACTTTGTAGGGACCAGTAGTGTAGGAGGGGGGGAGCTAGTGGGGGTCAAGCCCCCCCAAGTATCTTGCAAGGTGGGCAGAGCCACCTCAATATTTGGGAATTACAAAAGCAAATCAAAGTATTAATATTAACAAACAATTTACATGCATTTATTATAAATTAATATTATAGTACATGAACTTTTTAGCATTAATGTCTCACATAATCTCAGCAAATCAGCCCCCCCAAAAATTTGGCCTTGACACACCTTTAGGAACTATCTAGTTATATGGCATGCTCTGTCTCTCTCTCTGTCTTTCTCGGAAAGACAGAGAGAGAGAGACAGATTGAAATGAAGAGGGAGAAAGAAAGAGAGGGGGGAGAGGTAGAGAGTCTCTTCCTCTCAGTTTCTTTTTCTGAATTTCTCTCAGTCACTATCACTGTCTCTCTCTCTGTCTTTCTGGCTCAAAG